TCCGTCGTCGCTATCTTATCTTGGTAGGGTCCAATATGTAGGGTGGTTACGCTAACGTTTCTATATATATATAAATTATAAACTAAACAAGTTGAGTGAAAAAAATTAAATTTATTTTTTTTTGTGTTGATAAATGTCTTTTTTTTGAAATTAATGGATAAACAAAAATTTAAACCTTAACTAGTGAGGTGCCCCTACACCGTACTCTCGTGGCATGGACATAGACAACTGCTGCACTTCTCTATCTTCCTAACCTTCTGTTGCGCCTGTCCGAATACAGGCACTTCCAGCTCCAGGATCCGCCTTTCCGGTAAATTTGTTTCTTTTCTTCGAGGGTCCTTGTGCGACGTCCTGTATAATTTAGTGATTTCTTGGACGTCCCGTCCTGGAGTCAACGGGCGTCCAGTATCCCCGTACGTCACTATCATTGTTCCGTCGAGTTGCACCTCGAACTCTAATTTACTAATATTTCTTTTCGCCCACATTCTCTTTTTAAAATTTGTCCTAACATCTTCCTCTGTTAATTTTACACTCATTTTTTTTTATTTCTTGTCTGACATGAGAAGTTTAAATTTGAAATGATTAGTTTTGCCTTAAACGAGATATTTTTGTTTAAATTCCCTTTCTCTTAGGGTTAATAAATTAACATGCCGTCCGCCTTGTTTGTTACTTAGTAGATTAGTGCTGCGTTAGTCGGTGTGGTACCGTAACAGATTATCCGTATTATACGTCCCCCTTTTCCCGTTTTCGTCGAGTGTACTGATTTCATATACGTTATCATGTGGGATTCGTGTAATTTTATAGGGCCCTTCATATAATACTGCACATTTTTCTGCAACCCCTTCAGCTGCGTTTGAAATTATATTTGTTTTTAACAAAACGAGCTCCCCAAGTCTGTAAGTGACACAGTTCCCTTTTTGTTGACGTGTCTTTTTTCTGACATTTTTATGAACTCTCAAATTTAATTTCTCAGTGGGGTCTGTGGGCTCTTCCTTTAAGTACTTGTTGATTACTTTGTCCAGTTGGTATAGAGGTCGTTTTTGCTTTACCAATTACGTGGGGCTGCATCCTGTTCTAAAATGTGGCACGGTGCTTAGGCACTCTTCAAATTTCTGCAGATAGTTGGCATAACTGGAATGTCTTTTATGGCAATACGTGCGAAAAAGGTGCCCTAGCTCCTTCTGCGTTGTTCGATTTTGCATTTCTTATTGTTGCGTATGTAAACTGAATTCCATGTTTTGCTAATTTGTTTTTCCAATGGTTTGATGTGAACTGTGTTCTATGGTTGATAAGGATTTTTCTGGCCTTCAACGTAGGTACAACATTTTTTAATACGTATTCTCTTGACCGTCACTGCGGCATTCGCCTTTTTTAAAGCAAATAGTTGTATATATTTAGAGAGGATATCCACTGCCACTAAAATGTAGGTTACACCCCCTCGTCCTTTGGGCAGTGGTCCATAATAATCGACGGCAACCAGCTCTCCAACCTCTTTTGCATGTATTGGTTTTATTGGTTCATGTGGTAATTTGTTTGGCCTTTTTGCCTTTTGGCATATGTCACAACGTTGGATAGAGTGATTTATGTTCTAGTGCATACCACTCCAATAGAAATATAATCTAATTACCGAGAACACTTTTCCACCAGTAAAATGTCCCTTCTCTTGGTGGTACTGGTTGATGACCTTCTCTTGTAGTGATTTTGGTACGACTATGGTCTTCGTTTTACGAAATTGGTCGATATATAATAGGATACCTTCTTCAGTAATATATTTGTCCACCACTCGGTCAATGAATGTGATCGATCAATTTAGATGTAAGAAGGTCTTTCTCCTGTAAATGTGATTCAAGTCGTCAATGCCTTCGTTCCCGCTATCATAAAGTTTACTAATTGGTTCAATCGTTTCTCTTATATTGTCTTTGGTATCTGCCGGATACCGGGAATTATGTTTTTTAATAACAAAGTATTTATACTTAATGAATATATGGTATACAAATACTAAGCTTACACCAAGACTTCAGTAACCACAATGCTACTCTCTTGAAGTCTAGGGTCCTATTTATAATATGCCTTATCTTTATTACTATAAAGCAAACATACATCATTAGTGCAAATTACTATACATTATTAGTGAGGAATGTGGACTACATAACTCCTCCCTTCACAGAGCAGAAAATAGGAGTTCTTCTGTTTTCTGATTGTCTTCGGTCGTTTTATGGTGTCGTTGGTCTCGTTGGCGTCGGTGTATTTTAAGTAGTAAATAATGGTCGCTGTAGCAATTATAGTTAGTATAACTATTAACGTGTAGATCCATGCGTGGATGGAACTGGAGTTGTTATGCAAATTGTTAGCCATGGTTCTGATCTGTTCTGTCCTCGCTGTTAATTTTCTTCAGGTGGAAAGTTTTCTTTATTTTTTTCCATTTATGTAATGTTTATTGATGGAAGTTCGAATATGAATTATTCGTGTGTTGTTTGGTCAGCTTGGAAGTCTTCGCCATTTACAGTGATTTTGCATTTTTCAAATGACGCAATGTAAGGTTTGTTGGTCTCGTAAATACCTTCTGTTTCACAAGATGTTTGAATGCTTGTCGTTTTGGCTGGTATAATTAGAACGGTTTTGGAGGTTATTTGGGAAACACTAGTTTCCGAGTAGTAGACTTTTGTCTTGGGACATGAGTTTTTTCGGTTCTTATGAGGTCAGCTAGGCATGGTTGATATTTGTTTAGGTTGTTTCTTGAGCAGAAATAACAGTTTTCAATTTCTGGGCAGTTTTGCGACGTCGTCCAATGTTCGTCGGGAATTAGAATAGGAATAGGGTATAAATGGAACATTTTATATTGGAAATGTATTAGTGGGGTGTGAATTTTAAATAAGACAATTTTATTTTGAATTGTTACTTGTGTTGAAAATAAAGAGTAATAATTTAGTAATTGTTTAAGTTAGGGTACTTGATTTATCCCGTATATTTCGATTAATTTATCAATAATTATTTGATTTGATCTGGTTCTATTATAGAACTATGCAAGATAGTTAATCTAGCGAACGAGATAGCGGTTTCTAATTTGTTAAGTAAATGTTGAATTCCTTGTAATTGCATTAATAAATTATCTATAATATTTGAAAACGAAAAAGCTTGTTCTAAACTTATAGATGCGTTGATTTCTCTTGATAGATGTTTGATTTGAATTTCTAAAGTTAATTGATTTTCATTTAGTTTTTGAAAATTGTGGCTAAATGCATTCGAAAGTTGTTTGAGGAAGCTTCGTTGATTTTTTAAATCGTTATGTATCGTTTGTTCTTTTATTTGTAAGTTTTTAAAATATGATGTTTTTCGTCGTCTGAGTCTAACTTTTGAATTTTGCCTACGGCATTAATTAATCCTCTTTTAGTTCTTGGGGTTTCAGGAAATGAATTAATTTTATTAGTGATTATGTCTGTAATAGTTTTTGCATTAGATAATTTATGTCTCATAAAAGTTGAAAAATGGTTTATGATTGATAAGTCGTTAAGGTTATTTTCTAATTGAGTTAGTGAGTTTCTTATTCGAGAAAGTGATTTTTCGGGGTGTGTTATGTTACTGTGGTATTGAAATGTATGTCGGGAAGTTATTATGTTTGCTCGTCCAACGTGTACTGGTAAAATCGGATTGTTAAGTTCCTTTATGTCCAGTGCTTGGATTAGTTTTATTGCGAAGAGTATAGCGATGTAGTGATTCATTTCTTTTATCTAAAACATTACGTTAAAATTTTAATAATTTATTGTGGTATGTTTTAATTTTACTTTAATATCATTAATTATAGTTGGGTCCTGTAATTTTTCGTATCGGTTTACTGTTTTCCTTTGGGATGCATTTTTCTTTTTAGTTTTGTATAGGGGTTGAGTAGTGTCGATTTCTACGTCTGTTTGTCTAGTCTTATTAATTTTGTCTAAAGTTTTCTGTTGTTTTGTTTCAATGTTTACAAATTATCTTTTCGACCAAATTTTCTTAAAAACAAAGTATATTTCTTGTTCCGTAAGCGCATGCGGCGTCTCACTTATAGATGGCAGCGCTATCGTACTATAAATAGAAAATCAGCCCCGGGCTCCCCTATACCCTGTAGAGTATAGTGAAATACAAGCGAAACGATATATCCTATTATTATTTTATATTTAATTATATGTAAAAACAAAATATTGCTGCACAATTCGGCAACATTGCAGACTGCATAATCATCGCCATAAACACATGAGTTATCGCATATCGTATCATAAAGTGTGAATTTTACAAAAATTCAGTTGAACGTAGACCTGGGTGTCATCTCACGTTCGGTGAACTTAATGTTTAAATGTAAACTGTATTATGGGTTAGTTTAGGTGCTAAAAATACATTTTTATTGTATACTAGCGCCTAGTTACAGGCATTCTGACTGGTCATTGCCAAGTACGAAAGCAAATCCATATCATGGAGCTGTCAGAATCTGCACTCTGCAGAAGGTGCAAACAAGAAGATGAGACCATCGTGTATATCCTTTACGATTACTCGACGCTCTCATCTATTAGAAGATTTGTGTTCGGCGAGTATCGGCTAACACCGGCCGATATAAGAGAAGCACCTCTTGGCGACGTTGTCAACTACAATAAATCTGTAGGCTGGCTCACGAGCTAGGAGGTGCCTATCATCTCAGGAGGATGCACAATGGGCCTAGTGAGACCTAAGTGCCGTGGGGGATACACTAGCTACACTTTGTAATAAAGCGGAGGAATTTGTAATATAATAACGCATTCGCCTTCTTAACCCCTTTCACTTTTTGTTTATTTTGGCATTGATCTAAAAATTTATTGTATTTAGTTTTCTCAAATTCAACTGTTCTTTTTTTGTATTGCTTAAATGTGGTAGGTCTCTTAACTCTGTTCATCAGGATTTTTGCCGGAACTACTACCCCATCTATAGGAGTGGTTCTTAGGTCTAGATGAAGTGTTCTGAAGTGTTTCTTTCCCTCTCTTCTCATTCATTATTACCGCCTGTACTGCATCGTCAATTAATCCAGCTATTATCGCTGCTTCCTCCTTAGTTAATGTACCATTAGACCTTCCTTCTCGGACACAGTACAGCGACAAACGTGCGTTAAGTAATGTATCCAATGTTCTTGTCCATCCCTGAAACAGAGCTCTTGGGACTGCGACTTTCTTGTGGTAGCCCCTTTTGGAGAGAACTGCAGTTATCTTTGTCCACATGGAGTTCATATTAAGGCACTCTGGTGCTTTGGTGGTTTGTACAACATAGTCATGATGCTCTCCCCATGCTGTTCTGTCAGCCTGAGGACTCCATCCAGAGACATCATTAGACACAATTATAGCAACCCCTTTCTTGTCCGCACGAGTAAACTTGCATATCTCATCAAAGATTTTAGCGACATGTCCTGCCCCTCTCGTAGCTGTTACACCCGCATAAAGCATGCTCAGTGGAATAGCTACTTGGTCATAACAGGTGGTCAGCTCCCTGGTGATTGCATCTGCAGACCACGTTTCACGAACCTTTACACCAGGTTTAGTGTTTTCGCTCTTGGCTGCCATCTCGGCTACTCGGTCCCACCTGTCTGTTCCATTGGTAAGAGCCTTGTATATATCATCTGGGTGGTATTTTGGGGTGATCATTGGAGCATGTTCAAGTACGTACATAAGCTCATTTCCTAGTGCCCTGTCTTTGTCGGAAAATGCCACCATATCGTGAAAAATGTCTGGTTCGACCCTAGTTACATCAGCAGCTGTGTAGTACCATGTTGGGAGTTGATCTTTGTACTCGTAATACCTATAGATCCATACCTTACCCATGTCTTTATCTGGTGGCGTCTTCAGCTTTCCTTGAAGGCAAGATTTAGCCCATGGCTCATCATGAAAACTATAGTTATCAGCAGTCTTATCCTTTGGAAAGTTTCTTTCTCTAAGTATGGCCTTACAGAAATCCACCGCCTTCACGTAGTTCATAAACTTTCTCCAAAAAGAACTGTCAATTTCTCTAGAATTCTGCATCACCTCTGAGGCTTTCCTGAAGAGTAATGGTAAGGTACAATCAGGAGCTGGAAGACAGTAATAAAGGTTGGCTATGTCTAGTTTTGCTCTATCATTGATAGGTAGAGTAGATATCCTATCATGCCAATATGTTCGGAGTTTCACAATTTCTGGTATGGACTCCCGCATTGCCCTTGTTTTGTCTTCATAACCTGTCTTGAGCTTCTCCGCTTCCGAGTGAAATTCATTCTGAAGAAGTGCAACAGACTGTTTCATTGACCTAGCTATTGCATCAGAAAAACCTGTCTCTTTTAAAGCCCTCACCAACCAATCCACTCCCTTGCCCAGTGCATCCCTGAAGCCCAAGCGATCAACTTTAGGGTCTCCACACAGCCTATAGTTTTCTGCATATTGATACATGCCCTCAACAAACTTGGAGACTTTATGCATATGTTCACTTGCAGAAAAGTCCAGTATCAGTATTTCGTCCTCGTATTCGAGTATGTTGAGACCTACAACTCTGTGAAAGGAGGTAACTCCAAGTAGTTTTGCAAACCTGGCTTCAGAGTTTTCGAACAAAGCAGAAGTGGCATTCTCATCTTCGCTTCTCAGTCTATCATGTGCATCATGTATGTCCTTGGTCATACCTCTCATCCTCATCTGCTCCATTCCCCTCCACCACGAACAGGCGTACTTCCACTTCTTTGAGCCTTTGCTAACGTCGCGGCTTTCTCTGGTGATCTTGTTTAGTACATTTGCCCCCATCCTGCATGCACCTAAACCAACAGCACAGAACTCTGTTGCTAATGATCTTATTTGTGACTGTTTAGCCATTTCTGCACTCAGAACATCATTGTCTGGACTCCCCTTCACCCCTATGTATCTGTGAAGCATTCTCAGCATGACCGGATTGTCGCAAAATACTTTTTTTCCTTTACCAAATAATACTATTTGTTTGACTAAGCCGAAAAGTAATAGATTTACTGCTGCGGCTAGCATTACATGAAACTACAAGGTAGTAAATATCTCTGCCGTGTAAAACATAATTTTTTCTACGATTGTTTATATAATGTGTTTAAAAAAATGGAAATATAATGAAAATCTCTTTTAAGTATAACGGATATAACTCACGCATTTTTAATATTTATTCTAATCGTTGTTTTTAACTATATACCTTCAATTCCTGTACAAATGTACTTAGAGTAACTTTGTAGTTAATTTATTAGAGTAACTTTTTTGTCAGATGCTCATGCAGATCAAGACTTCAAGAGAGAAAAGAAGAAAAGTAAGTGTTTAATGCATAGGCAGTAAAAATGATTTTTAATGCCTAGACAGTAAAAGTGTTACTTCTATGATTTAATGTCAATCGGAGAAAAATATACTTTTTAATTCACAAGGCACACCTGTAGTATTTGTTAAATAGTTTGAATAGGTCTTTCAATAAATTCTTTGGATTAAGGGATCTATGTGAATTAATTAGGTGATTCTCAATTTTTTTAAAGGTATGGCTAGAAAATTCTAGCCCGTTACCTGTTATAACTTCAACAAGAATGCCTTGTCCTGAAAAGATTGATTTAAGTGCCTGAATTACATTTTGGCTAGTTAATTTGTTTTTGTAAATAACTTCTATAAATTTTGAGTTATAATCACATGCTATTAAAAATACTTCTTTTTTGAGGTGAAACCAATTTTATACCAAGGGCGTTTTTCAATGTGAATGGATATCAAGGGTTGAGGACTCTGTGTTTCTTGAAAAGTCGGGAAACTGTTGCAATTTAAAATTAATATTCATGATTTGAGTATTTATGTTAGACCAAAAGAAAGACAAGTATGCTTTTGAAATAGTTCTGCGAATATCAATGCAACTATAGTAATTTGTTTAAAATATTTCTGATTTTTTAGGAACAACTAAAGTTTCTCTTTAAAAATGAGTTGGCCCACTAAGGTCACCTCTGCTTTGTATTTAAAATAGACTTTAAGCCTATCATCTACTTCTTTAATTTTTGTTGGCCACCCATCTTGAATTTGATGTTTTAATATTATTAGAACTGGGTCATTTATGATCTTTTTTTATTTATACTAAGATAGATTTATATTTTCTTGAGTTAGACAAACTTGAGTTCTATATCTATATTTTATTTTAAAGTTTTATTTTAAAAGGCTCTAGATAATGTACCAGCAAAATTTTTTTGCCTGGTTAATATACTAACTCAAACTGATATTTGAAGGATTTTATCAAAAACAATTAATGTCAAAAATTCGGAATTTTCAGGATACACAACTGAATAACCCGGAAACTGATTGAGTTTTCCTTTTATAAAAATTATGGATTTAAAATCTTGATTGTTTTACGATATTTTTCACCATTATGAGACCTGTTGTTCTTTAGGAAAAAAGAGAACCTCATGACATTAGCTGTTTTTGACAGAAATTTGAAAAGTGAAACTATAGATCAATGGCAATTTTTTTATTTCAGTGAAAAAACTTACAGATAAAAACTTATAGTTTATTCGCAGCCATCACTGTTATCGTCCTCGTTAATGTCTACGTGGGTAGTTGCCTGCGTCACTGAGAAAGCTCGATATAAAGGTAAGCTTTCTGGTTTTTTAAGAAAGAAGCCAAAGCCGTGATGTTTTTAATTTTATCTACACTCAAAGGGATTTTTTCTTGATAAAGAGGTCTTAAATCTATCAAATTATTTATTTTTTTTGTTGGGAACTGCGCATTGTGTCCATAAACCAGTATATATGTTGCTCGAGTTTTTACACATGAACAATTTGAAGAAACTTCAATGCAACGTGCTTTTCGTAGATTCAAGCTTGGTCTTGGCGTTTTTAGGAAATATGGAGCGCAAGATTCTCCGATATTGAAAAACATGTTCTGCTTTATATTCACGACTTCAAATGGCGATGGTTTCTCCCTTGCTTCCTTAATTAACCCTTTCAATACGACTTTTGGCTATTTGTGTTTTAGGTGTTTTATGATGAAAACCAGTTACTATAGCAATAAATACCATGCTCAATCAATTTGAAATTTTTTCTTCAAGCCGTTTTTTAGAAAAAAAACTTGGGACGTATATATCCCTGCAGTATAGAAACGTGGGATATATATATATCCCCGCAGTGTTGACGCGGTAAAATAAAAAATAAACTTATCCAGGAAATATTTATTTCTACAAATTTATTTCATAAATCTATGTATGATATGGAGTGAAACAATTAACACATAAAGGTACTTGACATTTCTTGCATATTATTTTGGTTCTTTTTTCAATTTTTCTGGACTTACAACGAATACACCTATTTCGATCACCTTTATCAATAGGAAGATGATCACCAATGTTTTCGCAATGTTTTACCCTCTTTGATGTTCTACCCTGTCTTCTCGATCGTTTGTTATCTGTTTGAGACCTTCCTTCACTAATAAGGCCTTCAGCCACATTTTCCACGAAGTCAATAAATGCAATCTTTTTTTTAGTTAGCTCTTGATAGACAATGTGAGCATTACATAGGGCAACCATTAGCAATCGGAAAAAGACTTTCTTCCACCATTTAGTACTTCTTCGGTCTAATTCGTATAATGTAGACATCTGATCAGCGTGATCTACGCCGCCCATATGTTTATTATAAAAAATAATGGCCTCTGGACATTCCAATTCTTTTGAAGTGCCATCTTTCATTTTTCGTTTTGTTTTTTAGATTATAGGCATGTGATAGTTACTCATTACCAACACGTCCTTAGTATCCTTCCATTTTATTGCTAGTATGCCTTCTTTACACCCAGCCATTTCACAGGCTCCTCTCTCAATCAGTTTAGATTCTAATTTGGGAATATTTTTTCGACTTGATATATAGGTTCCCACTGCAGAATATCCGATTGAATCTAAGAGTATTGTCGAACAGTAAAAAAGCGATCAAAGCATATTGCCACATTAGGATTTCTTATAGTTTCCGCCAACTTTAGCACAACTCGCTCACCTAGAGTTCCTTCAGAGACTTCATTATCTTTTCCGCAATAGATATTTGTGTCATAAACATAACCAGTTTTCAAGTCACACCTTGTCCACAATTTTATACCTCTTTTGATCGGCTTCAATGGAAGATATTGATTTAGTGAGGACCTCCCTTTGAATTTGGTCATAGATTCATCTATTGCCTGAAATGTGGAGTCTGTTCTAGTTTTTATAAAGGTGTGCTTCAAGCAGGATAGAACTTCTTTCATATAGTAAATTTTTGATGCATTTTCTGGTTTCTCCGGATAGTTTAGGTATAGTTTTGATAATAACAGCATAAATCTGTCTCTAGAAATGGCCTCTATTATGGTTGGATTTCCCAGCGTCTTATTTCTAGACCAGTACATGTGAATAGCTGGTACCCGATTATACGACATGATTAGTGAACACCCTAAAATTATTTTAATTTCTCCTGCTGAGGTTTTTTTGATTGGCTTTTTCTTCGTTTTTTCCAATATATCAAGACGCAAATTAGTATAATAACTAATCTGCGTGATTAGACTTTTTGGGAACAACTGGTAAAAACTTTCAAGCATAGTTGACCCTCTATTTAGGTTAGCAATAATCACCGGGTTTTCTTCTATCGGAATGTTTCGTTTGGGTGAAAAAGTAAGAAGATTCTTGTTCCAAATATACTTGCCTGCAGATGAAGAAGGCATTTTAGTAGTATCTTCCCTCTCTTGATTATTGGTACCTTCAGTTATTTCAGATTCCATAGTATTTTGTTCAGTTGTTTCAGATTCCATATTATTTTGTTCAGTTCTTTCAGATTCCATATTATTTTGTTCAGAATCAGTTTCACTTTCCTCAGAACCAGAATCTTCATCATGTGAATAATCTGATGAATTTTCAGAACCATCTCTATAATCCTCATCGTCACTATCATCACTGTCGTGAAAAGGATCTTCTTCACTATCTGATTCATCCACAAACATCCTTTCAGCAATCCCTGATAGTTGCTTTTCAGAGAGTGGACGCCTACTACTCATTCTGAAACAAATGATACAAATCAGCACTGCGGACAATCAGCACTGCGGGGATAAATATATCCCAACTCCCAGCACTGCAGGGATATATAAATCCCAAGCAATTTTTTTCTGCAAAAACATGCAGAAAAATAACTTTTTATTATAAAAAAGAGAATAGAATCACTTACCTGGGTGTTATATCCTTGAAAATAGTTAAAACACTGCCCAAAAGCACAAATAAACAAGTAATTAGTCGGACGATAGCCAATGTGCCAACCAACCTGCGCAGTGGATAGTCTGAACCATAAACAACTAGTAAATCCCGTCCCAATATAATTTAAAGCTTTCTAATTCTATACCGATTTTTTCAAACTTTCTTTGGGACGTATATATCCCCGAAGTATTGAAAGGGTTAATATATCCCAATCGTGTGGAACTTCCGGACTGTTAGTTCTTTTTTTCTTTTCGATAAGAGCAAAATCTTGATCGTTGGGTAAAAACGAGTGACCTCTTTTTGGAAAAATGTGTGTTATCTTCTTGAAAAGCTTCAGAACATGTACCAGAATATACTGAAAATATCCCATAACCACAGCTTTAAGAATATTTCAGCTAGGACAGTCCAGCGTGCCGCTTTGATCTTTTTACGCACGAATTTGCAACTCGGTGGTGGAAGAAAAGTAGGGAGATCTTGGTAGCGCGCTATTCCTCGAAAACGGTTCTAGTCAGCCAGCCAGAGGTGTAATATAATTTTTTCCACTTGACGTATACTTAAAATTACTTTGTTGCTAGAAAATAATCTATATAAATGTTTTTAGTATTATTTTTGGGTTTAAATAATAAATAATACAACATATTAAAAAAACAAAATAATTTATTTACAATATATTCATTTTACATTATCTACTTTTTAACAG